AAAAAAAAATTGCTCTGTAGCCAGCAAGACAGAAAAACTTTGCCTCCTTTTGCTAAAGGTAATCAGAGTGGTAAACTCTTAATAGCTGAGAAAAGTAATAAAAATGTGTGCTACCTGCCCCGGACATATAGAACAGACATATATCCCACTAACACAGGCATTTGTAACTGTTAACAATAGCAACTGAAAATAGATCACTACTATGTATGTGTCTTTATTATTTCTTAGACTATAAAATCTTACCAAAATGCTAATATTGAGAGAGGAAATGTTTTCACTTTGCTTTATTTGTTTCTTATGTTCTTTCACTGGGGTAAGTTCAATGATATTTCTGGATTTCAGGAAGTTTTGATCAGTGCAAGTACAAAATCAAGCCAGGCTTTAGCAATATTTTATTTGTGTTTTCAGTGATTGCCTTCATGTTGTAGAGCCCATGCCTGTGCGGGGGCCTGATGTAGAAGCATACTGTCTACGCTGTGAATGCAAATATGAGGAAAGAAGCTCTGTTACGATCAAGGTGAAATATACACGGTCTCTAGAAAAGACAGAAAATTTGAACCCCCTTTCCAAAAGGCATAATGGGCCTGCTCTCTGCCTAATTGAGTTGCTTTGTGGTTATCGATATGTTAGGTAGATATGTAAAATGGATAGATATATTAAAATGTGCTATGTTTAATCATCATATTCCAGAAAGATATCCTAGTTTCTCTGTTAGCCATGTACACCAAAGGCTAGTGGGACAGTAGCATGATTAAGCCTTCCATTCACTAATCTCTCAACCCTTTGAATAAGTTTACACACACACACACACACACACACACACACACACACACATATACACATATATAACTATTTCAGAAATATTAGTTCTAAATTTTAAGATTTCCCTTCTTCAATTCTTAAAGGCAATGGAATATACATAACTCTCATTGCTATTTGGATTCTGATGGGCTCAATTTATTTATTATAGTTAGGACTAATGGTTGTTTTCTCAAGTTTTTTTTAATATGGTGCTTAACATTCCTTTCCTCAAAAAAAAAAGCTTTGTTATAATGGCCAGTCATAATAAGATTTCTGCTATGATAGACCCCCACAGGAGAGCTCCTGCTCCAGCAGGGTTTAGTACTACAGAGAAATCCTCACTGTACTTTGTCTTTTAAATAATTTTGGGGCACATATAATTTATGTGCCCAAATTTAAAATTTACTCATCATAAGTGTCAATTTTATAAATTT